TGTTTGACATGCCTCTAACAGAATTGATAATAGGCCCCACGTGACCACTACAGCTAAATATATCAACGATCGTCGATTCGAACGATCTCTTAACTTCCACTGCTGTGCCAGCCATATATAGTAAATGATAGCTGTAAGGAACGAGCACGCAATGCATATTTTCATGTTGTAACCGTAGTCGAAGTATATCTGTAATGTATGATGTATCTCAAATCGAAATTTAATCTACAAGTCTCTAGGAAAGCCTTCCTATCTCTAAGTAAAATATCATTTCAATCGTCATTCGATAAACTACTCTTAACTATTTACTTTTAAAACAGAATCCACCGAAAAAATTTTGAAAAATTGAGAAAATTACTAACCATAAGACTGTATACATGATTTATATATAGATATAGAAAGATGATGAATAAGAAGGACCACCTATAATTGAAACAAATTCAGACATTCTTCAATCTCAAAACTGTGGAAAGATGACCAAGTCCATTCATTATGCTAGTTCTATATGAATAAACAAATAAAATTGAATAACTAATAATAAAACAAGGACTCGCTTACAAAATCCTTCCTCGGTAACAATTTTGAAGTGATTTAGTGGTAAATGAAATACTAGCAAAAAGTGCGAACACTATAAATGCACATGCAGCAAAATAGTCTAAATATTCAGTTAACCAAAAGTCAGCCCAATGAAAAACGACTGAACATGTCCTGAAAGATTCGATACTATTAAAAAAGTTACAAGATGATTGGTCTAGACAGTATTGACAATTAAGAAATGTTAAGACTATGCTTGGAATCCGGTAATAACTTTGCCTTTATAATAAACAAAACCCACGCTAATTCAATGCGCAAAAAAATAGGACTTTGGATTCTTTTCGGTAAGGCTAATCGACTAGCAAAACTTTCAACCCTCCTCAATTCTTTAAAAAAACAAAAAGCATTTATTCACCACATTACAATTCCAATCACTGAATAAGTAGTCCAAACGATTTTTAGACGATTTGAATTGCGCAGATTTTTAACTGTTCGATACATAGATAATGTCGTGAGTAAATTCAGCACTGAAAATATAACGGAAGCAAGTTCCTGAAAATATGATATTGTTTCAGAAAGTGAAAAATTGTTGACTGAAACAAATGAATTAAAGAAAAGAAGAGAAAGTTGTGAAGAAAGGAAAGAAAGGAGCAAAAAAGAATGAGTATTCTCGCATGAAGTCAAATGAATAGCAAAGAACTAACTTGAACGGGAACAGGTACAATTAATGGTAGCCAAACAGCTAAGAACGGCCATTTACCATAAAACTGTGGCACAGAAAGACGTAAAACATCATCAAAATATTTCACAGTTTTCCATATACAACTGTAACGACATCTGCAAATAATTTAATTTTTTAAAAAATAGCAAAAATTAAATAAATTCTTATTACTTTTCTTATTGAAAAATAGAATGCTAAGCAAATCAAGGAAACAGAAGGCAGTTTGTGCATTACGCTACAAACTGCTAATCGTCTTTTTAATATATAACCCAATTTATACTTACCTGAAACACTCGCCAAAGATCCAACCACTTTCATCATATCTCTGCGGACAGCCATATCTTACGATACACCATTCCACACATTCCAGAAAGATGTGATGCTTGTCGCCAACCGAACCATCTGTTGGCCTAACCAGTAATGTCAATGCAAATAAGCTACCCGTAGTTGCTACTACATCCATACGCTTTTTGTTACGCATATATTTGCAAGTCTTTTTCGTCAAGCTTCAACCACTTCTTATACAAGTGCTTCTACAACGTTCCTTAATAATATATCAATAATGCATATATGATCTTTTAGCTTCGATGTGTATACCATTGCAAATTTGAATAATTTTAACAAGCAAATTATTTATGAGTAATTTCGATTCTTTATTTATGAGTAGTGTATAAAGTTGCACCTTATGTGAACAGTCTTCTTTGATCTTGTATATATAAATTTGAAATATTTTATGATCTATGATCTGAATAGAGCTTTCCAGTCAATATTTCTAAACTACGTGTAAACGAAGAATAACTTTCCAAAGATATGAAATTCATTGATTTATTCTATTAATTATTTTTAAAGCATAATCAGCATGAAACAATGATGTCAAAAATAAGGACAAACATACACTAGAAGAAATTTCTTCTTTCTTCTATTCAAGTCTCTTTGAATCGTTCTGCCTATTTCACCGGCATTGCTGATTTATCGGTAAACTTTCACTAAATATTTAAAGAAATTGAGGAAGAAAACTATCGTATATTATTCCTATTTACCCATAATTGAAGCTTTAATATTGAATTCCATTTTTTGAAAATAATTTTATAGCTGACAAGCCAAATCTTTAGTAATCATTGGAAGATACAGCTGAAAACAATTGAGAGAAAAGTTAAGAAAGGCAACCAATTCATTCAGGTACATATTGAATGATCATAATTCAACATTTTACAATTTTAAGGATAACACATCCTCTTTTAACTCTATCTAGGACCACATCTTACTCAATGCTTTTCATCAGCAGCATGCCAGTATGATACTCATGAAAGAGTCTCGACATACTAGGACAATTTAAGACAAACGTGAAGGCATTTTGTCCAATATTCTGACCTTCATGTTTACCAGAAAGTGAAGATTGGCCATTAGACCAAATAATAATGTAAAATAAGAGATCAACATCTCGTTTAAGTTAACAGCAGTCTTCACCTGCTCATAATAACGGTTACCAAATAGAAAAAAATCTGAAAAGAAAAATTGGACCCGAAAAGCATAAATACAACGTCATAAAAAGCTGTTACAACATTAAACTGAATCGATGTTCCATAGCAAGTAGGAAGAAAGCCCATGAACTAATAGAATGACGGTTTATGCTTTCAGTAAAGAAATATCCCGTAAACTTTGACCCAATGCCATTCGAAATAAATAATATCAATCAGACACCTAAGTAGTTCGATACATAATTTTTGGAAATAAATTTAACTGGAGAAAAGTTTCTGCACAACCGAAACAGTATGATACAATATTAAAAAGCACTATGTACATGTTCTGGATCAGTAATGCCAACAGTCAGAAGATAGAACAGCGAGGGTAATGGCACAAGAAGTATTGCAATCAAGGACATAAGTGTTCCATTAGTCGTTACACGATTCAGAGTTAATGTTAAGATGGAGAAGCCAAAAAGAGTCATATGAACGACAAGAATGAAGAGATTACGCGGCTTATGTATCATTTCGAAATATAGTTTACGTATCGATTTTTTTCGTTCAAGTGCCATATGGAGTGCATTCAAACCCAAGCTGCATACCAATGCCACATAGCCAAAGCTATAGTAAAGGAGACCTGCCTGTAACATATTCATTAAAATATCTGATTAAAATATTAACATAGAATATACACCAATTAACCTCATAAAAATTAAAAGAGTAATAGTCACTTAATCCGGATGTCTCACCAATCATGGATTACAAAGTAAAAAGAACTGAAGAGATTAATGTTCCACCAGGTGTTATATGATTCAGAGCTAACGTTAAGATGAGAGTCAAGAAGAACTATATGAACTGTAAGAATAAAGAGTGGAATAGAATTATGCTATTAAAAAAATTGATTTAAAATATCGCAAATAATGAAAATCAATTTCTAAAAAAAGTTAAAGCAAAAATCGAAAACTTACAAAAAGTGCATGAAAGAGGGCTATCAATGGGATAGTAAAAAGTGCAGCATAATATGGGTCAGAAGAGACATAGCTGTTCTTGAATACCGTTAAATAAAGAATTGAGCGAAAAATAATCAAACACATCAAACAGAACGCCAAATAAATAAAAGGCAAGGAATATCTAAAAACAAATTAATTTTCAATCAAACCCGAAACAATGCCATGAACAGAGTGCTGTAAAAGAAATTTGGAGAAATCTATATCGGGCACTTACTTTTACTTTTTTTAATAGAATCAAAACCTAATAATAAGGAAATGAATATCAATGGAACACTAGCACAATCTTTTCAAAACAATGAGTTTAGATGAAACAGAAAAAAACTCACAGTGGAAAGACTATTTCCTGTGTACATCGTAAAGTATGGGTATGATTAACTACAGGATTGTAAAATATTGGATACCAGTCGCGCAGCGAATTCTTAGTACAACCGTAAAGAATCGGAGTACCACGTGGTGGCATCAGAAGAAGAGAAAGGAGGGCGGATAGGGCGCACTCCAATAAGCAACATAAATGATGCAAAAATAAATGCTGCCGTGTACTGAAATATGTAGATTTCTTCTCAAATTTCAAAAAATGCTCCATAATATTAGTTTCTCTTGATTTATTAAAAAATAAAATAAATGCAACATGCTAAATACATTAACTATGAAATATTATGGGGATATGAAACATGCCTATAAATGCCCAATCAGCTAGTACTAAGAAATATTGAAATTGAGATATTGTCTGTATGTGACAATAAGCCATAACCCAAACTTATGATAACTGAAAGAAGACGAATACTAACGTTGAGTTTGTTATTAATTTTCTCTCATTGCAATGATAATCTGCTATTTTTCGTTTTTTGCAGTAATATTAATGATTATCTCAAGATGATGTTAATATGCACGAAACTGAAAACATCGAGCTGATCATGTTTTTACGATTTTTTGAGTGTGTGAGAGCACAAGTAAAATATAAATGAAATCTATTCATGTATTGCAGTATCTATGGCTCATATCTAGCGTAATGGAAACTGCTCCCTTGCGCTACATGATCAAAAATTCTGATATAATTGTTTCGTTTCAATGAAACATGGATATATGAAATACCTATGGTATCAAGTCTGTTAAGAAAGTATTAGAATCGTATACATAAAAATTGGATATTTTAGCACATTCATATTATCAATGCTGCATAAAATTACAAAAGTTGTTTTGGTTCATTATTATTACCGTACCCTAGTTTAATGGTCAATGTGGGATGGCGGAATCACATGCTTTTTTGGAAGAAGTTATATTTTACTGTAATTTTTAACTCTTAACTATACCTCTGAATTACCATCATTAATGAACTGGCAATTATGTAATTAAAATGTAAAATGAGTATAACAGTTTATAAGAACATCATATTTTTTCTAGAAAACTTTCTCCTTAAATATCAATTCTATAGTTTTATTTCTTACCCCGATTGAGCAATAAGGAAAAAAAAAACTTGTGATAAGACGAATTATGCAAAACAGTATATACCTTTTGGGAACAGTATATAATTGTACGAAGAACGAATTCAACAGCAAAGGGACCAGAGCAATGAAAAGAAGATAAAGCCAATCGTAGAAAGGCAAGAGATCATCACATGAAGAGCACAAAAACTTCTCAACACTTCGATGACCCCAGCTACAGGCCTGTAAGCATTCCAGTCACCATGCAAAGCGAGTCAAAACTGTAAGGTAACCGTCATTTGGACTATTATTATTAATGAACTGACACTGATTTAGTTAAGATATGAGTACAATCTCATCCTATTGTTCCTTATGAGTTACAATCTTTGTAGTAAATATATATTTACACAACATTCGAGATAAAAATAGTGAAAATTCGTTTTGATGAAATCAAAATAAAGCAGACCTGACAACTGGAATAGGTAACATTCCCAGACGACGATGTGGTCACCTGACGACCACAAAAGCCTGGGCAATTGTTGACGACACCTAGTCGTGACACCCCCGAGCCATCATCTATCATCTTATGTCATACCTGAAAAATAAGACGGTGACCTTTACGGAACTTGAGAGAAGTCACGTAAAATATTGTAGAGATAAAACAGCCAAGATCCACACGAGTGCACTAACTGATTGGTAAAAAGCTAAGCCTGATTTGTGCCGAGTTATTATAACTTACAATCCAGCTGGTCTAGCAGACGCTGTGCTAACAATACTAGCAATATTCAATTAGTCCACTGTATCATTCATTCACAAGACCACAAACACAGTCAAGCAACACTCCGACCCTTTACAGATAATCTCCTGCCACTTCATTCCTCAAGTCAGTGTTCACCGCATTTTTAGCGGCCCAATGTGAAAATGTCGCGCCTGCATTTCAACAATGAGCGAGACCTCAAACGCAAATTTATTGCAGCATTAATCAGCAAATATGAACAATAACAATGTCTATTTACATACAAAGAATGTTTTGTAATAAAGATAACCCGCTAGAATATGGGGGTTCTGCTACATCACGTCAACGAACGTTGCGTTCCGAACTACTAGAAATAACGCCCCAAGTGATTAAACTGAAAAGATTTTAACAAGAATTAAATAGTGTTCGATATTTGTAAGTTCAGAATAAAAGCGCTTTCAACGTATAGCACCCAAATAAAGGGAAGAGAAACAATTGCGCTTATTATCTTAAATTTTCAAAACATTAGCATAAACAGATGTCAGTAGATAATATCATTTCAGTTACAAAGAATATCTATTCTTCGTCTTGTTAAATTGAAGAAGGCAGTGAAATCTATTATAAATCAATGAAATTGAGTATAGGAATAAAGAAATTTAACGAAAAAAAGGAAGAAAAATTTTTTTTATCCAAAAAAGCGATAAGTGCAGTGAGAAGCAAACTTTTCGAATCTACAATGTTAGGATATCCGTTCAGAATTTCTGAATTATTGCTTCGTTCGTTTTGTTTGTTGCCGTTGATGTGGAGAACTTTCTGAAGCTTTATCTGAATTCCTTTTTAAATCATTCCAAATGAGGAATGTTGCATTTCCCTCTATTTCTGTTCTTTCCAGACTGAAAATGGAATTTTTAGAATTTTGATAAGCCAATTTCTTCATTTCTTGAATATCATCATGGAATAATTTTTAACAAAGCGATCAATTTGATTTTATTGAACCCACAAGAATTGCCAAATGTGTTATAAGGAAGGAAATCAGACCTGAATCATATTAGCACTCGGATGATTTTGAACAGCTCAAACCTACCAAATGTTCATACCACATTTCAAACAGGTAAATAAGCAGCTCTCTCGAAAGATGTCAAAATATAAAGCTTAACCTCAGTTGCTGCTGCTTCGGTGTAGATTTCCAGTAGGGCGATGACCTCTTCTCGTCTGTCGGGATAGTGCAATTTAAATTAGAAAGATCAGAACAACGAAAAAGAGCCTGTAGCGTCCAATAAAGAATAATTCCTGTTAGGCACATGAAATACGTAAGGATCATGACTAGCACAGAAGAAATTACTGGATAATCGTGAAGAAAAATACGTAATGAACCGAAGCAAACCCTGAACGAAAGTTCTCCTGATTCTACCTAGAACAAAATACAACTCTAATATCCAAAAAACATTTCGAGCTCATTGCTTTTTTATCTTTTGCAAGTTCATTAAGAAATACCTCAAGAAAGCGATTTTGAAGTTGTACATAAATTAGTGCAGTGTTTGCTAGATCACTATCAACGAAGCGATTTGTAAACGAGATTTCTAATTTACGGTCATCTAGCACAGTCAACAGACCAAAGAAATAAACAGGAAAAAACAGTGTTTGGCACGCCTGAAAGTTATAATCGATTGGATTACGGTGCAATAATTTTACCTACCAATTGCTTTAATAACTGAAAATTCGTAGTATTAGACTTCACCTTAATGGCAGTAATATGTCGATCTTGTTTATCTATGTTTAATCAACGTAACGCTACCAACTAAATTTAACACTAATATCACAGGGATGCTAATATAGAATACAAAAAAAAAAATCATCACTGTGGCCTATACACAATATAAGAATTTAAAAATCTGAAATTTATGTCTATTCTTTAGAGAAATAAACAAGTTCTTCAAAAAAACGTATTTCCCCGAAATTGAGAAGATCAAGCATGAAATGAAGAAATAAATATTAGCAAAGATAAGACTTATTTTTCACAACAAGCTGTTTATTCCCATTAATAAAATGATTTGAGACGGATTCAGATCGGGATTACACTGCTTTTTCAGAGAACCAACATGTTCTTTCAAACAGAAATAATATTCCCTTTAGATAATTTTTATATTTAGGATTAGTGAAATGCAGACACTACTTGTTCGTGCAGCCAACTGATCAGAAACTTTCTCCGAGAGACAGATAGTGATTTGACTCCTATTAAAAGTAAGCATGAACTGTTTTTCCATTTATTTTTCTTTGTATAAAAAATTGTTCAAGCTTTTGGTTTAGGGGGTTATCTGCCAAAAGCAATATCGAATACATTCCACAAGCGAGTAAGTGATCAATGAAAAATGAAGGACTAATCTTAATTTTTCTTATAAGCATTAACGTTATAACCTCAAAGTATTCGCTTGATACTGATAATCGTAAAATATTTTTACCTAGTGGTTAGTGGAGAAAGTTAATTTCTGAGTTTTATTCAATAAATAACCAACCAAATTCCACCAGCTCTGACCTATACGATATAAGACACCATGATCCCTATTCGCAAAACATGACCTCCGAAATATCCTTTTCATATTCAGTCGATCTACCAATTCAACAACAGCTTGGAAGATGCCAACATTTGAAGTCACCGTTGATTGTGATTGAACAATTTCAATGCTCATTTCGTAATATTCACTTGGTGATAATTTTGGGTTTTCCTGTAGATGGCAAAGTGGAATTATTTCAATTTTTATGAACAGATACTTTTTCTGAGCTGTGCAAAGAAAAGGCTTACCACTGAGAAATTTACTGTAGCAGTCGGGAATGAGCAAATGCCAGCAAGTTGTTCACGGCATGTTTCGAAATTGAAATGAAGTGGCACCGAATATTTCACCAATGAAGGAAGAAGAAGCTGTCTGAAAAATCTTTTAATATCTTGCAATCTTTTCATAGACTCAGATTTACTCAAAATTAATTTGGCCTAATAACATTAAAATAACAATTTTAAAGACACAAAAACAATACAAATTTTGATAAGAAAAATTGTTCTTTAGATAAACCGAAGACAATCAAATAATAATAAACAAACTGCAATAGTGACTATAGAAAGTATGCTATATGAGCCGCAGGAATTGGTCAAAAACACAAGATATTCCTTTTAAAAACCAATATATAATGCATGAAGTCGCAATAAAATATACTTAAAAAACACGCAATATGATAAGACTTTTACTGGATCAAAATAAAAAACTCAGAAAAAACAGAACAGTAAAAAAATGTGCTAAAAAAATCAACTATGAAATTTCACTAAAATGCAACTTTGATCCTGGGAACTAAGTTAATGTTATTGACTGCTATAACCACAATCCGACATCTTATAAGAAGTATCCTTTTAATTACTCTTCAGTAGCAGAATCAGGAAAATTAAGGATATTTACAGCATGTGCTTCCATCATAATATGAAAAGAAATCCCCCAAAACAAAAAAAAAGAGAAACGGATCAACCAAAATAATTAAAGTAATCATTTATCTTTCATGAATTTCATTATGAAAAAAAAAGGTTTTATTCGTCCCAACGACAAAAAAAAAGAAAAAACAAGTAGCCAAGTAAAAATTCGAGAAATGTTGTAAATAAACTGAGGCCACAAAGAAGTCTACAAAAAAATTTTACACAGAATTGTCAAATTTAAAAAACAATAGAATTGTGTCAGAAAACTCAAAATCTGCAAACAGTAACCTGAGAAGGAAAGGCGAAGCAACGGCCACGGCAAAAGCTCCGAAGAACTGTAATATCGCAATAATAACATCATAAAGTGAAAATCTATCATGTATCCATGAAATAACCTTCTGCATCAATTTACCTATTCCTGCAATTGTAACTGGGTGATATACTTTAAATGATCAAATCACAGGGTTGGATTGCAATGAAGAGGATGATCTGAAGATAACACGAAAGCACAGCATCAGAATATCTGGATCCGCGAAAAATTATACTGTACGAAAATTCATATGCTTCTTTGACATCCTATTCTAGTCTATCACTACCCTTCAGTGACTAAAATTACTTTGTCCGTAGCCGAAAGAAGGATCAGAATTCCACAGCATCACATAAACTAATAATAATTATTATTACAATAACAATAAATAACAACAATAAAGCTGTTCTTTCTATTGTCACGTGTGCTGATGTAAATTTCCAGTTGATCAGTTGAACTTAGCGCTTAGAAAGGAGGAAATCATACCTAGCTAAACAATAATTAATATTATTTATAAACTAGTAGAAGATACTTTGCATGACTTATTTTTTGAGAAGCAAAAGCATGAAATCATGATCAATGAATATATCTTTTTTTCTCTATACAATGGCAATGCGAGAGAATTACAAAATCTTAGAATTTAAGGAAATAAAAAAAAATTTATGAGGAGCGTAAATATTGTAAAGCGAATCCCTAAAAGCGAAAGCTTTGCGCATAAGGCGGACAGCACTGACATCAGTCAACCGGATCCCGTCCATCCGAATCTCCCGGTCTATCCTGCTGGAAACGCTGTGCAAATTTCCGATCTCACAGATTCTATAAGGAGAGGAGACGATTGTATACAATCGTTATGACGAAAGTTGGAATTGCGATAAAATAAATCATAGAAGGCGATTGATATTAATCTTCTCTTCATTTCTTTCTATGATCTATCAGGAAAAATTTGCATATTATAAAAAAGAATATGAAATTTTTTTTGCTCTAAAATTTGATTGGTTACGGCAAATTTTTGCTATTTAAAATAATGAAATTAGTGCGTGAGTTTAGTTTGTTAGTTGATTATTTGTATGTAAAATATTTCTTTCATCATCATAAATCGCAGTTTAACGTGCTCGAATTCATTTGTCAAATTGACCAATAAATTTGAAAAATTCGAAAGAGAAGAAAGAGTAAGAAGAGGAAATGGTAGAATTTGAAGATGGTCACTCGCTATCATCCTCAGTATCACAAGGTTTTGAGGATGAAAATCGCTTACCGCAAATCGATGATATTGTCAAATCATCGAATCGTACCTATCATTTGATTGCTATTTTAGGTGAGGGCGGGTATGGGAAGGTATTTCATGCGATACAAAATGGCAAGTGAGTGATTGAAGGTCAAAATCAGAGCTGTGAACTTTTCATACCTTATGAAATTTCTCATCGTAATCAATCATATGTCATCAGTATGATGTTTTAAGTTGAACTTTGACATTCAACCAATGATTTACAGTGTGTGAATTGCATTGATTTTAGTTAAAGCTAATGTTCTTGTTAAATTTTGAAAATGACATCAAAAATTTTTGCTTAATAGGATTTTATAAAATAATTGTTCTAATTAGAATGTTAAGCATGTGTTCGAACATTCTGTTCAGATCAAATGATAAAAAGTTATACATTGACCTATGCATATTGCACTTATTTCCATTTTCAGAAGTTATGCATTAAAGGCAGAAAAGTATAAAAGTTCAATGCTTCATATTGAGATTGCGGTGCTCAAGACAGCACTTAAAAAAGGAGCTGAGCATATCTGTGAACTGCATGATTATGTTAGTTTTAAATCTTTAAATTCAACTTTATTTGCTTCTGTTTTATTTTAATCTTCAACTACAGATGGCAAGAAAAATGCATTAACAGAGTCAAGTAAAACAGAATTACAGAATTCATTCTCTGTGAATTAAAAAGATTTTGTGTGAATTAAAAAGATTTTTTTGTCGTGTACTGATTGATTAATTAATTAAGTAAGCGGAAGATATTTTAAGCCGGTTTTCTATGGTTATGAAATATGCTGATGACTGGAACACAGTAGTTCGTTAGCCATTCAACAACGATTGTTTGATTTCAAGTCTTATTGAAAATGTTATTAAAATTTATGGTAGGTTTTTCCACTTCATTTTCTGGTACTGATCACTGCTTTCATCTTCAGGGTGCAGTGAAACCAGACTTTGTCTTCATAGTGGTAACGCTTTTGGGCAAGGATTTGTATAAATTACGTAACGAGCAACCCGATCGACATTTCTCGATCAGTTCCGCAGTTCGTGTTGGTTTACATACCTGTAAGGCTATCGAAGAATTGCATAGGTAAACAAGTTGTAAGCGAAAGTAATGTATGACTGATCGATATTTAATGCTATATTTAAATTTTCTAAGACGCACATTCGTAATGAACTCCCAAAAAAAAAAAATAATTTCGGAGGACCGAAATCCATGGTTTATTAACTAAGCTGAGTCTCCTTTCTTAATTTTGGAGTGATGTCCTATCAAGACTATTAATAGAGCCTCTAAAGAATAAAGATGAACGTCCGTTTCGAAATTGTTCTGAGTGCATTTTGAAGCTTGTACACAAGGTATGTATGCATTATCACCGTATTTATTGCAGTTGTGGATTTCTTTCACGAGATATCAAACCTGGAAATTATGCAGTTGGATTGGAAATAAATAAACAACATAAAAGATTTTTCTTATTCGATTTTGGATTGGCACGGAAATATCTCGACAAAGTAATATTTGATCACATTGAATTATGTTTATAAGAAATATGTTTTTGGCTGATAAAGTTAGTTCATTAAGGCTTTACTAAATTAAGAATGATTTTAATAAATCGTAAAAGATAAAGTCCAATTAAAAGTTCTTAACCACAAACAAGGACTGCTTTATTACGCTGCTGCGACTTCTTTATTTGGCTATTTTTTGAGCAATATTTCATGTCGCTCTCATATTTCCAATTTTTAACGACAAAGATAACGGAATTTTTCTTTTTCATAAATTGGTGATCAACAACAGAGTTTGCTTGTAGAATGGAAGACATCAGAAATCAAGAGGTGAGATTGGTTGGCGTGGCACTACGCGATATGGCTCATTGAAAGCGCATCAAAAGCAAGATCTGGGAAGACGGGATGATTTGGAATCGTGGTTTTACTGTTTAGTTGAAATTACTTGCGGCATATTACCGTGGCGACATATTGTTGGTTAGACCTTTTGCTTGATTGCATTCCTGAGTTTAGATGATGGTTTTTTATACTGTTGTATAGACTAATGTATTTTATGGTAAAACTTCTTAACAATAATCTTAAATTCTTACTTACCGTAGATAATTAGAGATCAAGGTGGAGAAATTAAGGAATCTACTTGTAGGTTTATATCAACTACAATATTTTTTACTACACCATAAAAATAACTCATTTTATATTGGACTTTATAAGATGAGATTATAAATCAAACTTTTTATGAATGAGATTGCACAAGTTGTACGGATAGATCTTATTTTCACAGAAAATCTATAATAGATTTTACTTTCACAGAAAACTTGTAATAACAGGACTGGGATGCTCGAAAAAAAGAGTTAGATTAGGGATTATGATTATACCTTGTTTCCTGTGGTTTCTGTAAATTGACGAAAGGAAAATTTGGGAGGAAAGAATTTGAGAAGAAGAAGAAGCAAATAAAAAGCGATTTGTTTTTGAATGACTTCGTTGGAAAATTGGAGCAATATGTTTATAATGCCAGGCTTAAAAAAAGAAATAGTAAACAAAAAAAAATTGAATTGATGACATAAAACAAGTAAAGGTAACTCTCAATGTTGCCTAGCACTCTTAATATTTACCCAATGTCGCTTTTTGTGAAATTTCTGTTTCTCGAAAACTCTTAAATTAATTTACGGAACGAAAGGAAAATGTGGAAGAACTGACAGAAAGATGAGAAAGAGACTGAATGTATGAAAAAAGGAAGAAAAAAAAATGATCATATGACTGAAAGGAATTTAAAATTGTGATGTTTCAGATCGTAATATTGCATATGAAGGTAAAATCAAAGCTCGAAATGAAGGACGAAAAGAATTTTTAACAAACTGTCCAAAACAATATGATTTTATTATGGCACTTATTGATCGCTTAAATTTTGCGGATCAGCCAAATTATAATTATATATACAAACTTTTAGATCAGGTTTGCCTTTGAATAATTAATTCGCTTACTACTAATTATAAGGAAATGAGCATTTCGAAACGACATTG